GCTGCATATTTCGCTGCTATTGGGCAGCCGTTTGAAGTTGTTTATTATCCACGGGCAAACACACCGGAATTTTGTGTTCGGGCATCATCTGTGAATGTCGCAATAGGTCTCCAGTGGTGCTTGGGGTTGAGGTTCAAGATGCCCTTTGAAACTGAAGATTCTTCTAGAACAAGCTGGTTCATGGGAACAATATCCTCTGTTCAGGTGCTGATCCCATGGCCATCCATTGGCCTAATTCACCATGGCGGCTTCTACCTGGGTCGCCATCTCCGGCGAGAAGGCGACCCCACTAGGCTGCCTTCTCACCGGAGAAGGTGACGATTTGTTTTTTTGTTTTTTTTTTAATAGTTAATATGTTGATTGTTAAAAAAATGAATAATATATATTACTCTTTGACCTCATTAATTGATGGTGGTGCAAATAACACTTTGCTATTTGCACCACCTATAAAGTTATTTGACCTATTAAATAGGTGGTGCAAATAGCAAAATAGGTGGTGTGAATAGAATTTCTCTATCTATAATTCTTCTCAGCTAAAGGTATGAGATGTCCTTTTCTTCATATATTATATTGTGTACATCAATTATATATGCATCTACAATCTTACAAGAGGATTGCAGTATTTTTTTTTTTTTTTTTATTCTTAACTTTTTTTCTTTTTTTTTTTTTTTTACCAATTTTCAGTTACAAAACTAACACCATAACACACTAGTACAACAAACACTTTTAACATCGATTATTTGGATCCTACACCGTCAGTTAAAAAACGACATTACTGTAAGAGACGTTATAAACAAACTATATATATGACGTCGGTTATATAAATAACTGACGTAGTATATTATTATTTTTGTTTATTAATTATAACTTACAATGTCGGTTATTAATACATAACCGACGTTGTATATATAGTTTTTTATTTTTAAATAACATAACACGTCAGTTGTTTACAAAAATCGACGTGTTAAGTTGTCAAATTGGTCCCCTAAGTCGACCGGATAGTGCAATTGGGTCCCCTAACTTAAAAAATAAATAAATAAATAAATAAATCTTCATTTAGATCCCCTAAACCTGTAAAATTGTTCAATTAAGTCCAAAGTGACTTGTTTAACAGGTTAAGTCTTCAGATGGTTGACACATGTCCTTTTAAAATATTTTTTGTTTTTGTTTTTATAAATATATATATATATATATATATATATATATATATATATATATATATATATAGGCAGCGGATCTTGTGCAACTCCTACGATACAGGAGATCACATCTCATCCATTAATAAATTTTCAATTGATGGATATGATTCAAAGTCAAATATCAATTATTTAAGGATAAATATAAATGAGAATGGTGTAAGAGTAATTCTATTATGGTGTTTAATTTTGGTTATAATTAAAATAGAATCTTTATCTAATAAAAGGGATCTTATCAATGGTAATAATTAATTATATTTTTTTTGTATTATGAGATTTTGAAGAAGAAACATGCCAAGAAGAAATAGTAATATGAGATTTGTATGTGTTACGGTGGTGTGTGCATGTGTGGTAGGGCGTGTGCAAATTTCTGAAACTTTGCATCATGTCGTTTTTGTTTTTGTTTTGTTTTGTTTTTTTTTCTTTTGTTTTGTTTTGTTTTTTTTTTTTTGTTTTTTTTTTTTTTTACGATGGGGTATGCATTTTTGTGATATGGCGTGTGCAAATTTGTGACAAAGGAACTTTGCATAATGTCATTTTTTTTTACGGTGGTGTGTGCATTTGTATGGTTTTACATTTGTAAATTTTTGGCAAATGAACTTAGGCATCATGTCAATTTTTTACACTGATGTGTGCATTTGTGTGGCATGGCGTGTGCAAAAAAAAAAAAAAAAAAAAAAAAAAAACATCATGGTTTATATACATTAAAAAAACCCCCAACAAGAATTAACGCACACACCATACCAGAATAATGCACACACCGCTGTAAGATTGCATTTTAAAATAAAACAGTAATAAAGGCGTGTGCATTAAACTGGTGTGTGCACGTAATGAAGTAGGTGGATGCGTAGGAATGAACACGTAGGTATTTGCTAAGTAGGTTATATTTATAAGTGCGTTATGCTGGTGACAGTAAGAGAGAGAGAAATATTGAAAATTGATTGAGGCAAAAAATAACGCTAGAAATCTTTATAAACATGGAAATAAGTGAAATGGAAAGTAATAAATACAGTGATTAAGGAAAAAAAAACACCTCTGACTTCATCTAAAATCAATAGCGCATGTGATCCAAGTGAAATCAATCTAAACCGTTAAAAAATAAAAATAAACGCATAGGATGTGGCCTCACGATCTCACCTGGCTAGGGGGGTTTCACTGGTTTATATATATATATATATATATATATATATATATATATATAATAAAACATACAGACACCGCAAAAGCACTCTTCGCTTAATCAATGCGAGCGGCAGCCATGGTTTTCTAGTTTTGTTATGGATTATACCAAGTTGTTAATTGTTGGGCGTTTGCTGTGGCGGCGGTGATGGAAGGAATAACGAAAAATTAAAACAGGACAATTCATTTCCTTATCCGAGCAGCAACTCCTTGACTGCGACGTCAACAACGACGACGGTTGCGGCGGTTGAATCAGAACAGAGGTGTTCGAATTCATAAAGGACAACGGCGACCTAGTGACGGAGTCCGACTAACCCTACAAGGGCACTCAGGAAAGCTGCAACACACAAAACCTTTGTACACCAGCAGCCACCATTTCAGTCTACCAAGAGGTGGCCACCACCGAGTCCGCTCTCCTCGCGACCGTCACAAGCCAACTTGAGTCCGTTGGAATCACCATCGACGGGGACGTGTTCCAATACTACAAAACCGGCGCCCAGCACTAGATTGCCCTCGTTCCAGAGGGCGGCGGCCATGCCTACTCTCGTTCCAGATATGAAAGACAGCCATGGCCGTCTCAGCCACTGGCTGTTCTCGCCTGATAGCCGGTGGCTGTGTTTATTTTATTTTATATATATATATATATATATAGGATTATTTTCAAATATAAACTCCTCTTAAAATACAAACTGTGTGCATGTAAGTATGTTAATGTGTGCATGAGCTAATCACAGATATTGTTGGCATTGTGCCCAGTGTGCATGTAAGTATGTTAATGTGTGTACAAGCTTTGATGGATGGTTGTAATTTTGTCTTCCTACGCGTTGTGTGCATGTAAATATGTTAATGTGTGCACGAGCTTTGATGGATGATTGTGATTTTTCCTCCTACGCGTTGTGTGCATGTAAGTATGTTAATATATGCACGAGTTAATCCCAGAAATTGATGGCAATGCGCTCTGTGTGCATGTAAGTATGTTAATGTGTGTATGAGCTCAAGTTTATTGTATTTTAAGGGGGATTTGTATTTGAATGCAACTATATATATATATATATATATATATATATATATATATATATATATATATATATATATGCATGCTTATGCTTCATCGTAATTCTAATTTTTATTTTTTTAATTTAATTTCTTTATTTATGCTTATGTGGCAGCCAAGTACCCACTCCAACGCTTATGTGGCGCTCCATGGGGGCAATTATTGGCTTTTACCGGAGAAGTTACCGGCTAATGGGGTCAACTGACTAAAAATCGTGTGTTCATGTGTTTAATTGACCTTTTTAAAAGTTCGTGACACTAATTGACTTTTCGCGAAATCTTTAAGGGCCTATTTGACCCTTTTCTCAAAGAGATATAATTTCATATCATTAGTTATATTATCTTTATTTTCTACAATTCAAAGATTTCTTAGGTTCAAATTTATTAATTAATTATATTCACTACATTATCCATTGTCTTCTTTTTACATTATCTTGTGTGCGTGTGTGTGTATATATATATATATATATATATATATATATATATATATATATATATATATATATATATATATATATATATGAGGGAATGGATCAGGTGCGGGTAGTGTTTCCCGTGCGGTTGTGCGGGTGGGCGCACATTAAGCATTACATTGGCGCGCACTTTAAGTACACAACACATGCACATTAAACACACAAACAAAATACATTCAGAATACAAACTCACGCATCTTAAGCACAAAAGTCACGCATCTTAAGCACAACCCTCACGCACCTTAAGCACAAAAGCACACGCACTTAAGTTTTAATAACAACTCATATTAAGTACACAGTCACGCACATTAAATACAAAACTCACGCATATTAAGCACAAAACTCACGCACTTTAAAGTTTCAACAACAACTCATATTAAGTACACACTCACGCATCTTAAGCACAGTACTCACACACATTAAGTACAAAGCTCACGCACATTAATCACTCACACAACCGCACATGAAACCTTCACCCGCACTGGAACTTAAACCTATATATTAAAATTGTGAATACTTTAAACGTTTATTTTATTTATTTAGAGGTGACGGAACTCTAAAAAGAGAACAAAATCATGAGCATAGATGCATATTCAATTCTATCACATATCCAATAAGACGTGAGTGGGTCAGAAATACACAATTACGAATTTATGCAAAGAGAGTTCGTCAACCATTTGGAGGAGTAGAATCAAATATTCAGTTTAACAAATATTTTGATAATTTGAGAAGAAATAAAGTAGACTTTGAAGATTATTGAAATTATACTTAATAGTGATTTTAAATGTAATTTATTTTAATTTTGTTAAACTTATGTTTTATGTAATTTTATTTTTAATTAATCTATGTTTAATATTAGTATTGTTTTAATTATCTTGATCTTTCAAATGATATAATTTAAAGTAAATAAAAGACATAAATGAAATTAGGAATAAAAATAAAGAGGCAAAATAGAAAGAAAACTAACACAGCAAAATGGTGGATGATGAACAGTACAGCGCCAAAATGGGAAGAAAACTAATACACCAATATGGGGCTTCACTGTTCATCTCCTACCATTTTTTCCCGGCGCACCCGTTGGAGGAGGTTTGCACCAATTTTTTTTTTTTTTTTTTTTTTTTTTTTCCATTTTGGTGTTTTGCCTTATCCGTATGAGTCTATGAGATGTTCTTACAGCTCCGATCCCGAAGTCCTCCACCGCTCAACGCGACCACGCCCCACGAACTCTTACTCGAAGATTCGTAGATTCGCACCCCATCAGAACTCTGCCATCACCTCTGTCAATCCTCGCCCGGCACTCCGGTCTCCGGCGGTGGCTATTGTCCCGCGGCACTCCGTAACGAACTCACGGCGGCATTCCAGGTTCGAACCAATTTCATTATTCTTCAACTTTATTCAATTATTCGCATAATTAGTTTTCCCTATTCAATTATTCTCTTAATTATTTCGTATTGTATTTGTATCATTGTATCATTTGTATGTATATAAGTATATTGCCTGAGATGCTTGGTAATTCACTTTCTAAGTTTCTGTTAAGTCTTCCTTCCTGAGATGCGTGAGAATGCTTCTTTACTAATTAGCCAATTTCACATCCTGAGAATGTGAGAATGCTGCTTTATCTGATTGAGTGTCATTTTTAAAGTTATTTCTCAGCAAATCATTTCCTTCCCGTGTGCAATCAGATTTAGAGTTTGATATAATGATAGTCCACAAGTACCACTTAGACTGTAAATGATAAATGATATATTATACCTAATGAATATGAAATTAGGATTCTAAATTAGTTAATGTGTGTGATTCTTGGGGAAAGAAAGGAGATATAACAGATTAACAGTGTAGTAATCTATATCAAGACTATATTAACATTGTTCTTCCCAGTGGGCAGTGTCTTCACAGATTAACACTGTAGTTAATGTGTGCATCTGCTGCTACTTTTTAGTTAACAAGAGTCTTGTTAATTGATTAGGAGTTAATCATCTATATATTATCTCTGTATATTTTCAGATTTCTCCAATTTTGTCGAAAATAATTTGCAAATGATTAACTAATGATATGAATATATATTGTATTTGATTAGGAGTTAATCATCTATATATTATCTCTGAACTCCCCGGTTTTCTGGACATGGCAACCTTTGCATTTGAATCTCTGCAACGACTTTCTTTGATAGTATCCCTGAACTCCCGGTTTCCTGGACATGACAACCTTTGTGTTTAAATCTTTGCAACATCTTTCTTTGATAGTATCCTTGTACTCTCAGTTTCCTGGACATTTTCTTCTCTGGTGCAATAATGCTCTGTGACTGTGAGAATTATGGTGCTTGTTATTTACAATGCCTGAAAGATTGCTTTTCTGTGCAGTAGACTGTGCTGAATGTTTAGTCGACTGCTGATTTGATCTTGTCTTTGTGTGTAATGTAACTTCAGTTTAAAGCCATTTGTTTGCTTGGTTAGTACTACGAGATCAATCTTTTACCGAGTTATTATGTTATGCTACACAACTCGGTCTTTTTTCTGTACAACATAGGAAAACCAGGATTGAACTTGTTACGTTTTATATACATAAGTCAGTGACTTGTATGTCATATTTTGCGTACAGTGAATTTTTCGGGAACATCTTGAAAGGGAAGAAGGACAAAGGTGATTCTTACTTTGTCCTTCTTCCCTTTCAAGATTTTATGAAAAATTCGCTCTACGCAAAATATTTTAGTAATTTTTTTTCTTCCTTTTGATTAATCGTTGTGTGCTTATTTTATTGACTTTATAGTGTTGATTATGGCGGATGAGTCGGCAACCAATGGAGTTGTATTCCACGATGCTGAGATCGGCGCAAATGATGACTCCAAAGTGGAATCGAAGACCTCTGCACTGAGCCAGAAGCTTGTTGCGTTGGAGAAGGAGAATCGGGAGTTGGTTCGTGAAAACGAGGTCGTGAAGGAGATAGAGGAGAAGCTGAAGAAGACAATTGAGAAGCTTGAGAACGAGAAAGACGAGTTGCGGAAGAAGGTGGAGAAGCCGGGGTTGGAGAATAGGGCTTTGGGATCGCTGGCTGCTCGAGCTTCTGAACTTGAGGGAGAGTTGGTTTGGCTGCAGCATAATCTGATCAACGCTACGTATGATTTGGCAGAAACAAATTATGAGGTGTCACAATTGAAAACGGTTTTGGAGGGGTCAAAAACCAGGGAGGAAGAGAAGAGATCGAAACTTGAGACGGTTGAAGGGGAAAAGAATATGCTTATTACAAAATTGACTAACCTGGAGAGCACTGAGAATGATCTCAGGTCTGAGGTTGAAGCAAAACAGAAGGAGTTCAGAGCTGTATTGAGGAAGTGTGCCATTTTGTTTAATGTGGATAAGCGGAGGAAGGAGTTGAGGAAGTTGTTGGATGAGGAAGAGAAGGTGAAAAAAGAATTGGAGGAAAAGTTAGAGAAGGAAAGGGTTATTAGGCTCAAGTAGCCCAATTTTCTTATCCTATTCAATTTTTTTTGGTGGTTTTTACTTTGAATTTTGTTCATGTGACTTTATTGCAAAAACAAATTATAAGCACTTTTATTGGTAATATGAGGTTTTTTATTGAAGTAAATAATTATTAGAAAAGAACCCAAATTGACCAAGTAGGACTAGTTTTATTTTTATTTTTGAAATTTATTTATGTTTTAGAAGCCTTGTTTAATTATTTTTTTAAATAAATGTATGCTTTTTTAAATTTATTTGAATTTCCAATTGTTATCATTTTAGGGTTCTGATTGGGGTCTTTTCTCTTCCCCATAAATAGAGGAGTTCTGCATTCTTTCAGCATAATTCACCTTATTGAATAAAGGCTTAAGCTTACTTTTTAATTTATCTTAATGTACTTAGCTTTTGTATTCTTCTTGATGTAGATTTGGTGAAGTGTATGAAAACTTTCACGTATACAATAAAGAAATGCCTAGAAGTGTGGAAATCGAACTCTCAAACTCACAAACAGGAAATCGAACTCTCAAACTCATAAACAAATAAATTTTTGTATTCTCAAATAATAACACTTTAACTGGGAATATTAAATGAAAAGATCGAGACAATAAGAGCATCATACTCAACTTAAAAAAAGATGCAATTGAAAAGAAAGAAAAAACTCAATTTTGTTTCAAAATCGTCAACCTCTACAAGACTAAAACTAGTATAATAAGAGGCTTTAAATAACTTAGGAGGCGCATGAAATAGACAATAAAAAATACTGAAAATTAACCTTTAATTTAGCCTAATATAATAATTCAAAAATACCAAATAAGTAATTTAAAGTAAAAATTAAAGGAATAAAAATCAGCATCAAAGTGGCATAATTCTCCATCCTATTTCAAGCAATCTTTATTTTTGAAAAATGAGATCATTTGAATTATATGAATAATTGAATATAAGACAAGTCTTTATAGGATTGATTTTGAGATTCATTTAACATAGATACGCTAAAATGGACGATTCTTGTACCATGGATCAGGGTTCATAAAGCATTGTAGATTTTGGTATATGTATATGTGTCTTGTATTGTTAATTTTTTTGTCTTATATTATAAAATTCTGTAAAAGTATGAAATTTGTATTTGAAACAAATTAGTAATTGTGTAACATAACATATTGTGTGTCTTATATTATGAATTTGTGTCTAGTGTTGTGAAATTTGAACATAAATGCTGCGCTTAAATCATATTTGAAAATAAGTAAATACGGAGTATCCTTTAAAAAAAAAAAAAGTAAATACGGAGTATATAACATGTGTATTGTGTTGTGATTTTTTGTGATTTGTGTTATGAAATTATGTACCTTAAGTGCATAAATTCTATACCTATAATAGATTAGTAGACTCACAACATGGGGAAAAAAATTGTTGAATTCTTTAAAATCTAAAAATCATAACCACATCATTTCGATTTAAGATCCATAATGCTGTGTGAACCCTAGTTCAGAATATAAATTGCATAAGATGGAGGTTTACATTATCATGGTTTGGACTTTGGACCTTCTCTGCACATTATTTGAAGTAGATTAATTGCTTGTAATAAGGGTCAGATAGATCACTCAATTGCATACTAAATTGCAATTAGGTCATCGAACTTAATATATATATATATAACCAAGATGACATGTTTACCTGAAAATATGTTAACGTGGCGGTTACCGAATTTAAAAATAATTTTAAATAAAATAATTATTTAATTTATTAAAAAAAAAAAAAAAAAACTAGAGAGGGCCGGTGACGACCCCTTCATCTATGGGGCTCGTCTGTGGCCATGGATACGAATATACCTTCTTAGTCTCCGGCCATGGAGACGAGGCTTCGTCTCAATGGCCAGAGACTAAGAAGGTATATTCGTCTCCTGGCCAGAGACAACCGTCTACAGTTTTTTAGTAATTGTTTTTATTTAAAATTATTTAAAAATTATTTTTAAATTCGGTAACTGCCATGTTATCATATTTTTAGGTAAACATATTATTTTGGATTGAATTGCATGAGTTTGTGTTGTTCATGGGTTCATTACAATTTTTTTTTTTTTTTTTTTTTAGATTCGATGTATCTTATGTTATGCGTTTTTGTACATCATGTTATGCAATTATGAACATTAAGCATAAGGATTCTGTAATTGAAATTGATTAGTCGTTGTATAGCAGAACAAAAAGGTTCCAAGACTGTGAGTTTTGATCGGTGATACCAAGTACCACGAATTAGGGATGGGTGTGTAGGATATCCACCAAGATGGTATATTTCAAAAATATCCAGATTTCCCCAAAGAAGCCCACGGCTTCAATCCTTAGCCATTCATCAAAGTCTAGATTAAAACAGATGTCGTTTGCTTGACTTCCGGACACTATAGGTTCAAGAAGGCATGCAATGACAGGTTTGTGGTAACAGAGATATTGCTTGAGGGTGCGACGAAACGCTTGTGACAACACCCCTTGGCAATTCCAAATGATAAGATTCATAAAAAAATAAAAAATAAATAAAAAAATAAAAAATAAAAAAAAGAGAAACAAGGAAAGCTCAATTGAGCAATCGTGACCCTACATCCGTCTTCCTCCATTACATCTTTCGGAGTGTCGCAATCGAAGAAGTCAAGGCCCTCATCCGGTGGCACGTTAAGGATGGGCATTTTTGCAACTGGAGGTGACGTCATTCCCGGGTCTTTGTGTCGGTGGTGGATTGTGGTTTTGGTGATTGCCCTCCCTCTGGATGAGCCTCTAACAAGGGTATGTTAGTTCTTCTTTCGCTTTGCAAGGGGTAGCTACTCTGCCTCATTTTCCCCTGAAGTTAGAATTCTGAGCAGTTCTGATATTCTTTGGGCCGCTTGTGGGTGATAGCAGTAGCTGGACGTTCTCGTTTGAGATGTACCTAGGTGTCGGATTTTTCGAAGATTCCCCATGGGCAATACTGCATGCATTCTGGGCATGGCAGCGAGCTCTCCTCCCTGTTGTTCTTCCTCTAATTCTTATAGTGGGCCAAAGCGAGAATTATACAGTAGGTTATTATAGATCGTTTGTTTGTTGGATTCTTAGGTATTGTCCACTGTTTGATGACCATTACGGTCTCCTTTTTGCTCCGGCTTCCTTGGTGCTCGTCGTTCCTTTCTTGTCACCAACATCCACGAGCCAAACTTCTCGTTGCTGGTGCTCTATTCACTACAGTTTTCTTGATCAGCGCAGGCTCATAGTTCGCATCTCTTTCGATCTCCTTCCCCTTGTCAAGGTCCATCTAGTTTAAGCTTGGTGACTTAGCTTGGGTTTGTTAGCATCTTGGTCGCATTGTTCTTGCCTCTGGCGATAAACACCACACTTGAAATTGTTAGCAATATTATTATTATTGTTATTATTATGTTACATCTTTGACTAGCTTTGTAGTAGGTTAGTTTATATGGCTTTCTTGTTAAATAGGATTATCTTACATTATTTATTATAGCTTTAATATTGTAACTCCTATCCTTTTGGAATTCAATTATCAAACAGTTATTTCATTTGGTATCAGATAGACCAGGTGTTTTCTCTCTCCTCTCATCCCCGCAAACTCACCGATCATCTCCCCTAAACCGTTCGGCCATTCACCACCATGTCTACCAATTCGTCGGAACGCACTGTTACTATCGACGACACCACACCTCCGATCACCTCCCAAAATTCTTTATCGAGTGCACATCATTTTGTCTCGATAAAGCTCACCTACCGCAACTTCTTGTTTTGGCGAACCTAGTTAGTGCTATTCCTCCGCAGCCAAGAGCTCTTTGGCTACGTCGACTGGGATACCCCATGCCCGCCGCCCACGATCGACGTTACTCTGGACTCTGGCGATTCCGGTTCCTTCGCAACCACCGCCGCACCAACGCTGAATCCGGCCTATAAAGCTTGGATCAAGCAGGATCAATCCCTCCGGCCTCTGCTCATTTCTTCACTATCATATGAAGTAATGCACTTGGCAGTCGACAATACCACATCCAGGGAAATCTGGAAATCCATCGGAGCGACTCTTGGCGGCTCCACTCGTGCCCGATGCCTCAGCCTTCTCGGCCAATTCCACTCACTCCTGCAGGGTAACGCTAGTGCAGCAGAATACTTGGGGCGAGCTCAGCTCTTGGTGGAAGCTCTTGTGCATGCTAGTCGACCCGTTTCCCTCTACGAACAGAACCTGTTCATGTTCCGGGGACTACGGCCGGAATTCCACTCCATGGCTTCCTCTCTCACGGCGGCAGGTAGACCAGTAACATCCCTCAAATATCGGATTTTCTTCAGGCACAAGAATTTATTCATGCAGACGATTTTCTGACTGGTTCGGATGGTGAGCTCAAGGCGGCATCGTCGGCGATGTATGCTGGACGGGGACGTGTGGTGACGGCGGCCGAGGTGGGTCTAACAGTCAGGGCCACAGCAACCAGGGTCGTGGCCGGAACGGACAGAACCGAGGTCGTGGTGGTTGCGGCGGAGCTCCGCGTTGTCAAATTTGTCGGGCGCAAGGTCATACTGCAATGTATTGCTACAAGAGATACGTTCCTCAACCGCTGGCTCATGCAAATCTCGTGGTCTCCGGCGAGGATGCGGCGGCGACAGCTTCGACCACCGGATGGTTCCTGGATACCGGGGCGTCAGCCCATGCTACCCCGGATCCATCCATGTTGACACAATCGGACGACTATAACGGGGGGGGGGGGGGGGGATGTCCTCCGTGTTGGTAATGGCGCATGTTTGATAATTTCGCGCGTTGGTTATGCATTTGTACCTTCCGAGTCCAAACCATTACATTTATCTAATGTGTTTTATGTCCCTAAACTGTCTGTTCACCGGTTTTCAAATGATAACAACGTGTTTTTTAAATTTCACAAGAACTGTTTTATTGTGAAGGATTCAATCACCAGGGAGGTGCTGCTTAAGGGTCCTACGTCGGGCGGCTTATACCAGCTCCCGGTATCCCAGTCTCATTTTGCCTACCTTACTTCCCGTGCAACTCCCGCAGTTTGGCACCGCAGGTTGGGCCACCCGCATGCACATGTTCAAAACCACGTTTTAAAGTCTTGTCCGGTCGCACCAAATAAAGTCAAGTCAATGGGATCATGCACTTC